ACATAGGCATGCTGGTGAGGACCGAATTAATCAGAATTAATCGACCTCCATATGACATGAGCTTCCCTTTCCAACAGCTTAGTTTTTTTTCAAAACGATCCTCAATGCATTTCCACTCCTTGTTCGTGAGCTTACGATAATGAATGGGTATGCCTAAGTAAGTAAACGGTAGCGAACCCAACTCACATCCGAACAATTTCTTATACGCCTCCTGGTCCTCACTAGCTCTTCCAAAGCAAAACAGTTCGCTCTTATGGAAGTTAATCTTGAGTCCAGACAATTGTTCAAATAAGCACAACACAAGCTTCATGTTCCTTGCTTTCACCAAGTCATGCTCCATAAAGATGATCGTATCATCAGCATACTGCAGAATGGATATACTCCCATCAACTAGGTGTGGAACCAAGCCCGAAACCTGCCCCGCCTCCTTAGCCCGGCCTATTAAAATAGATAGCATATCAGCCATTATGTTGAATAGAATCGGTGACATGGGATCACCCTGTCTTAGACCTTTGTGTGTCATTCACTTTAATCCCTACACTTCCTTTTTGCGTAAAGGACTCGATTTGGTCTCGCCAAGCCTTGTCAAATCCTTTCATGCGCAACGCCTGATGAAGGAAAGGCCATTTAACTTTATCGTATGCTTTTTCAAAATCCACTTTAAAAACCACACCATCAAGTTTTTTTGAGTGGATTTCATGGAGCGTTTCATGCAAGACGACCACCCCTTCAAGGATATTTCTATCCGGCATGAAAGCTGTCTGGGACGGTTGCACAACCAAATGCGCAATCTGCGTGAGTCGGTTCGTCCCAACCTTTGTGAAAATTTTGAAACTGACATTAAGCAAGCAAATGGGTCTGAACTTCTCAATGCGAATAGCCTCTGTCTTCTTAGGAAGAAGAGTTATCGTTCCAAAATTGAGCTTGAACAAATGAAGCTGACCAGTAAACAACTCAAGAAACATGGGCAACAGGTCATCTTTAATGAAATGCCAGCACTTTTTGTAGAACTCCGCCGGAAACCCATCTGGTCCTAGCGCTTTATTATTTTTCATTTGTGCTATGGCCTCATACACCTCCTTCTCCATAAAAGGGGCAGTCAAAACCTCATTCTCTTCCGTCTCAAGTTGGGGAACATCCTCAACTCTTGACTCATCCAAGGACACAAAACTCTCTTCCGGAGGGCCAAACAGCTGCTTATAGTAGTTGGTAATGTAAACTTTCAGGTTTTCCTGACCAACTATCGTTCCTTCATCTTGTTCTAATCGAAAAATTATCTTCTTACGATGCTTTCCGTTAGCAATCATATGAAAGAATTGAGTGTTATCCTCTTCTTGGACAACTTTTCGAACCTTAGCTCTCAAAGCCCATTTCAATTCCTCCTCACGGAGAAGCTCTTTCAACCTTAACTCGGCCTCCACTTTAGACTCCAACTCACTGGTATCTAAGACAGAGGTTTCAGCTTTTAACTCGATGGTATGAATCATCATAAGGAGCCTTTCCTTCTCCGCCTTATAAATTCCATTCGTATGCTTAGCCCATCCACGAAGGAACCTTCGCATATGACGAATCTTGCATTGCCACCGCTCAATGGGTGACCTTCCCCCCCGAGTCTTTAGCCCACTCTCTAGCTAACAATTCAATGAATCCTTCTCTTTCAAACCAAGCAAGTTCGAAGGAGAAAATATTCTTATTATCCAAATGAGTTGGAGCCCCTGAGTCAACTAGTAACGGTGTGTGATCCGAGATACCTCGTGTCAACGCCTACACCGTTACCAGAGGAAACTTCTGTTCCCAATCGACACTCGCCAAAACACGATCAAGCTTCTCAAACGTCGGAACCGGTAGCGAGTTTGCCCAAGTGAATTTCCTACCCGAAAGCTCTATCTCTCTGAGATCCAAGCTCTCTATGATAGTATTGAACATAAAGGACCATCTGCCGTCAAAGTTGTCATTATTCTTTTCCTCCTTTCTTCGAATAATGTTAAAATCACCCCCCACTAAGACGGGTAGTGGCTCATTCCCGCAAACTCGGACTAAATCAGCCAAGAAATCTGGTTTAAGTTCGGGTTGCGCAGCCCCATAGACTGCCACCAAAGCCCAATCAAAACCATCTGCTTTAGTTCTTACCCGAAACTTGATCGCAAACTCACCCATCACTACACTCCGAACCTCCAACATTTCGCACTTAACCCCGAGTAAAACCCCACCGGATCTTCCTCGAGGTGGGAGGCAGTGCCAATCAAAATCTACCCTCCCTGCTAAGGTACTAAGAAACTGCGCGGAAAAATTAGCTCGTCCAGTCTCGGACAAAGCAATAAAGTCTAAGTGATGTTCAAGAGAAGCCTCTGCTAGAAAACGTCTTTTAGCCAAGTCTTTAAGACCTCTGCTGTTCCAAAAGATGCCTCTCATATTTCATCATGAAATTTTTTGGAGGTACGGATCCTAGCACTTCTACGCACAGCCGACACAGGGTAAACCTTACGTTTCCAGGTCCTCTTAGGCTTAACCCCAACATCAGAAGGTTCGGCACGCTCGGAATGAGCCTCTATGGCCACAGACTCCACTTCTAGGTTAGTGGTTTCCGGGGAGGGGTACTCATCCTCCTCCACCGTCTTCTGAACCGCAGGATCAAGATCAGCACACAAGCCATCAAGAACCCTAACCCCTAGCGCATCAATCTCCGACTCATTCATCGGTTTAACTGTAGCTATGTTACGAATCAATTCTAACGCTCGTTCAGCTTCCAAGTCTAGCATATCATTAACAGACTTAGAGATCTCTAGATCATTATTACCAAGAAATACTCCTAGTTGGTTTGCATTTTGAACAATCTCATCATTGGTAAAATGCATTATAGAATTAGCCTTGTTAACAGACATACCAGTGGAAAGCTCGACGTCCCGCAACTTGGCCGCCCTCAACGCGCACCTGAGCTGCATGTCGTCAACATCCGGGTGCTCCTGCAGTCTCCCGCTGACCCGTCTCCCTACAGAGACCGGATCCGGGATTCCACCAAAAGCGATGACCTCCTCGCGAGGAGTAGCGCTAGGGAAAGAGCCTCCTGCCCGCCCCCCAGCAGCGGTGACCATCGCCGGGGCCACCGGAGCAGCAGCCAAAGATGACGAGATCTCCATCCCGCCGATGCTCGAGACCGGTGAACACGTCCTAGCGCGACCCAGTGGTGTCGGTGCCGCAGCGAGCACACCCGCCGGTCTGCCCTCCATAGCAGCAGCAGGAGAAAGGACGGCCTCCTGCGCGCCCGTTTCCCCGCTAGCCGGCGGCCTCGCCAATGGGGCCACGCCGCCCCTCGGCTCCGCCCGCGTCAAAGACCCAGAGGGTCGAACCTCCTGCTCGACAGCTCCTCCCGCAGCCACTGGCTCCGCCACCATAGCCATGGCCGACGGAGAAACAGGAACCAAAGACGGGACCTCCTGCCCCACAACACCTGCGTCCTCAACAGACCTCCCCCTACGCAAACTGAGCATCGGACTCGGAGGACCAGCCCTTGCACCCGACAACCTCGGCGGCGCCGAGAACGCCCCAATAGAGCCCAACTGAAGAGTGGTAGTTGGTACTGTGCTAGACGGCCCAACAGGTGTGGAGTCAGCATTATCAGACGGACCCGACGGTCCCATAGCCTTGTCCTCATTACTCTTTGCACTATCATCCTGGTTCCCCGAACCCCCTCCTCCCTCAGAAGTATCCATGGGATTATCGTCCTCAAACTCATTGAATAGATCAGGATCCTCATACTGAACGTCCAACTGATACAAAACACCTGCGTGAGTCCAAGGCACTACGTCTGGCAAGAACTGAAATGTTATATATTACAACTTTGTTCCATTGTTTTTAATTAATCTTCTTTCATAAACTAAGGTCGAATGTATGAAACTGAAATCAGCCTGTTTTCAAATTACTACAGAAAACATATCCCAAGTGTATTTAGGTCCTAATAGCGTATAATGGTACAAGTAGTGGCCTATGAGCTCCATAAAAAACTGAAAAACAAATAAAAATAAGAAATGCCACCGTAGATAATTACAAGATCAGCTTACAGTTGTGAGGAAGAAATGACTATTACTTGCTCGTAGAATGTAAGTTCTTTAACTTCTAGTTTATCACATTACTTACGGTCTATAAGCAAACAGGACAGAGAGGCCAGAAATGAAACTACATCAATGTCACGACATATACTGTTTCATAGTTCATTACTTCAGCCAGTCTTAGACATGGATATGATTTACAGATGCTCTAGCACATGTAAAAGAAAAACATGCATGCCATTCTCATGAGTGCTGGCTAAGTGATGTGTGCATGTTCATTAAAGCAAGCATTGCAATATTTAAGCCAAAATTTCGAATTCAATTGGTAAGAGAAGATTACCAATGATTAAAAGATTAGATCCAGTTTCTACTCGGAGAGTTAAATCATCAACCAAAACATTACCAGCGGGCGTCACCACTGGGAATCATTTGATATTAGAATGATGTAATTATGCAAGGAAACAGAAAGTGAATGTGCTCCTCCTAGTATTCTATTACCTTAACACCTGAAAATTCTGTATGGTTTGCTTCGCTAATATAATTTCTAGCAGCGGAATTGTGGTTCAACGATCTATCACCGACCCCAGACAACTCATGTGAAACATCTAGTAACTCACGAATCCGGTCTGCATAGCCACTATAAAATTATAGTGGAAGTTCATTGCCAATCATGTCACAAAAAATATTAGAACTCAAAGACAATAGATTAGCATCAGAGAGAGGTCATAGGACCCCCGTGTACAGTTATTAGTGGTGGTCATCATGTTAACCTTTTATGTCTTGTCTTGTCGTTTTAGCCCGTTTGTAGTAGCTTTGATTTGTTGGATTTGTAGCTGCTGAATTGGTCGTGCTTCCGTTCCTCTCTCTTGAATGCATGTAGCTCTCCTGACTGATTCGAAGAAAAAAGGCCACACGTGCTTTGACAGTACTAGTACGCAACGCTGACTTCAACACCTAGTCCGAATGTGTAATTTTGGTCAGCGTGTAAGAAGATTGGTGCAGCCTCGCCGGGTGGACGAGGTGCTGCAGCGCCCGCGGCACCGGCGGCGCGTTGACCTGAACGGCGCCCTCCAGCGCCTGCACAACCTGCGCCATGGTCGGCCGCTGCGCCTCCTGGTCCTGGATGCACCAACACGCCACCCAGCACGCCCGCTCCACCTCCTCCGGCCTCACGTTGCCGCGCAGCCGCGGGTCTGCCACGGCGGCCACCTCCCCTTCCACCACCTTCCCCGCAGCCCATACAGGGAAGAAGGTCCACGAATCACTGCTCCAGCTCCCTATCGCCTCCACCTCGCTGTATCCGTCGGAGTTTCGTCGGCCCGAGATGAGCTCGAATAGCACCATCCCGAAGCTGTACACGTCCGCCTTAGCGCTGATGGGCTGCCCGGAGATCCACTCCGGCGCCAGGTACCCGATGGTGCCCCGCATCGTCGTAAGTGCGCGGCTGTAGTCCCTCCCCACCAGCTTTGCCATCCCGAAGTCAGCGATCCTCGGGGACATGTCCTCGTCTAGCAGGATGTTCTCCGGCTTGATGTCACAGTGTATGATGCAGTCGTGACAACCGTGGTGCAGGTAGGCCAGCCCTCTTGCCACGCCGACCATGATGTTGTACCGTTCGCGCCAGCTCGGGCTCGCGCCGCCGCCGAAGAGGTAGCGGTCGAGGGAGCCCCGGGGCATGTACTCGTACACGAGCATCTTTTCAACGTCCGACGAGTAGAACCCGAGGAGCCGGACGAGGTTCACGTGCTGGATGCAGCCCAACGTGCTCACCTCTGTCCGAAACTGCTTGTCGCCCTGCTGCCCAAGGCTCTCCAGCTTCTTGACTGCCACCTGGAGCTGGGTTCTGTTGTCTCCCTTCTGCTGCTTCAGGACGCCGCGGTACACCGAGCCAAAACCGCCGCCGCCCAGCCACTCCGAGAAGTTCTTCGTGGCGGCACGAAGGTCGCCATAACTGTACACGACCAAGGAGGACCCCTTCTCGTTTGCCAGTCGTCTTCTCCTAGCATGGAGAATCCTCCAGGCCAGTATTACCGACACGCCGAATGCTGCAACACCAGCCAATGGGATGCCAAGAACAAGCCATAATGTTCTCCCCCGTTTCTTCCCGTTTGTGCCGGAGACGCCAAGATCTTGCAATCCTGCTTCTGAAAGCCGGAGATGGAGGTCCGAGCCAGAGACGCCGGAATCAGCGTAGAGCTGCTCAAGGTTGCGGATCTCTCCATGCCAGACAGTGCATCCCCCGCCCCCGGCAGAGAAGGCGTAGGCCTGACAAGAGCAATTATTTTGGCAAGTTGATTCACACTCTGCTTTGCTCTTGGCCGCACCCACGGCGTGTGAGTCGTCGGGGAGCTTCACGTCTGGCAACGCTAGGAACCCATCGGTCGTCGACCCGTTGTGCGTGCAGGTGAGCCGCGAGCGCCGGCGGCAGCCACCGCTCCAGTCGCTGAGCGTCCAGTCCTCCTCTGACACCGGAGCGAACCCGGGCGGGCACCGGCATGGCAGCTGGCTCCTCTGATCACAGACGCCGAACGCGCCGCAGAGCTTGTAGACGTCGCACTGCACGGCGGGTGCAGTCCAGAAGGGTTGCCAGCTCTGCCTCGCGCGCACCCATACGTACACCTTCACCTGGCCGGTGAGATCGAGCACGATGCGCGTGATGGTCGCGTTGTCGTAGACGACGTTGGTGAGGCGCCGGTACGCCGGCGTCTCGACGTACGTCGTGTTGTAGAGCATGGTCCTCGTCGCCTCCGTCGCGGTTGCGAAGATGCGCCCCGTCCAGATGCCGCTCCGAAAGTATATGCGGGACTTGTTCCACATGAAGAAGAATTCGCTGGTGCCGTTGGGGTCCACCGTGTCGTAGAACATCCCCGGCGCGGGGTCTTGGGCGTTCCGCCACGACGTCAGTGCCTGATACTCGCCGGTCAGCTTGTTCTCCCCGACCCACGCTTCGGGCACCAGCGTGTCCGTCGGATGGTCGAAGCTCTGCCACAACACGTTGGAGGAGTTGCCGCCGTCAACAAGGACAAGGTTGCCGTTGTCGCGGATGTCCGCTGTGTTCCTGCCGGGCGATGAAGACATAGACGAAGAAGACAGGTTCGAAGACCAGACGACGACCGGCAAGGCAGAGGCTCTGGTGGGACCGACGAGCTCAAGGTTGCCGTCGGCGGCGGACACCCGGAGCTCGGCGGATGCGACGGCAGAGAGGGGAGTTGCGCGGTTGCCGACCCAGACAACGGTCTGGACGGGGATGTTCTTGTACCAGATCCCGAGGTAGAACCTGTCGCCGAGGCTGCCGGCAGGGCTGAAGAGGCCGAGCTCGAACTTGCCCTGTGCCGAGATCAGCGTGTAGTTGCCCCGCAGTGGACGCGGCGCCGAGACTGTCGCCGCTGCACAAGGAGCAGGGGTGAAGCACGAAGCAAGGGTTACGAAGGTGGCCATGATCAACGACATGGTGCTTGGCGGAGCCCTTCCGTTTGCCAGTGAATTCTCAGGGGGTGCAGTCGAATTTGCGGTGAACAACGGAGACGGGTCGCAAGAAATATCAGCTCGCGAGAGACACGTGCGTGTATTCGTCAATCAAAGCGGCCACGGTGTGGAGTAGAGGAGTGTAAAATGCGTGTATGGCTCTTATGGCGTTAATGGTTTGGTCTGTGCCGTTGATTACTTTTCGGTGGCTCGAGAGTCCGACATGGACTGTGACCTGAGTAGTCTTCTGTGGCGGGTCTTTCTTCTATTCCTAAAGTTTTTCTTTAACGAGACCTTGAGACCATTCTCAATACATGAATAAAATGGTGAGTGGCTCAGCACCGTTTGCGCGACAGCTATATTGTCTTCTGAGAAGTTGTTTCAAAAGTCCAAAGACGAGTGAACGAAATGCACCAATAGTCAATGAATTTGACCATCTTTCTCGTTCTAGTTAGTTTACTATTGAGTGCAATCAACTTAGGACTATGATAACTGTCAACTGTGCAGATTGCAAAACTACCACACGACCCCCCTCGTCTCTAACGAATCGCTCCCTTCGATCTACCTCCTCTCATGGGCTCCTCCCGATTCTGGGTTGCCAGCCTACGATCCCACCTCCTCTTGAACAAACCAACTCTGAGGTTGCGGGGTTCACCCGATTTTTTGGGCAGACAACTGTTTAAAAACAGGCAAAAAAATGACACAGATGGGGATCGAACCCACACCGTCACATCCAGCTACGGTAGACACCTTTATTGATTAGAATCAATCTACATGATAGTTGTATATACTTGAGACGAGATTTTTTTTTAAAAAGACAACCAACAGTAATTGAAAATCCAAAACACTAGCCTCATTTGTTTGGGTTTTAGGACTATGCATTCTAGTTCCATCTTTTTTTCTGCATGTTTCACATCAGTTCACATGGTTCACGAACCCGGAAGTCCCCTTCCCTCCTTTTCATATGCAAATTACCACCGTGTTTGCATTTAAGTTATTAGAAATGAGGGTCATATATTACCATACTATTTACATAGAAATTACCGGGGTATGTTTGTAGACAACGTTTTCCCTTTTTCAAATGTTACCGTGGTGATTGTACTTAAGTTATCGGGTATGAGCTTCGTCTATTATCATACTATTTATATAGAAGTTACCCGATGATATTTTTCAATACACCCCCCTAGTAAAAAATGTTACAGTGATGTTTGTACTTAAGTTATCAGGTATGAAGTTTGTATATTATCATACTATTTACATATAAGTTACCGGGGGCTATCTTTTCAATAATTTCCCCCCTTGGTTAAATTTATTACCGTGCTATTTTCACATAAGTTACCGGGGTACATTTTTCAATAACTTTTTTCCCTTTGGACAAAGTTAGCGCGATGTTTGTACATAAATTATCCACTATGCGGTTCGTATATTACCGTGCCATTTTCACATAAGTACCGGGGTATGGTTTTTCAACAAATTTTTCTCTTTGTCAAAGTTACCGCAGTGTTTTTACATATATTATCGGGTTCATATATTACTGTGACATTTTCACATATGTATCGGGGTATGGTTTTTCAACAACCTCTTCCCTTTGGTCAAAGTTACTGTGATGTTTGTACGTAAGTTATGGGTACGTATATTACTGTGCTATTTTGACATAAATTGTGAGAATAATTTTCAACAACTTTGTTTTCATTTGGTTAAAGTTACCGTGGTGTTTATATGTAAGTCATCGGGTATGCGGTGCTATTTATCACATAAGTTATTGGGGGGTGTATGTTTTTCAACAACATTTTTCCCTTCAATCAAAATTATTGTGGTGTTTGTATGCAAGTTATTGGGTGTGCAGTTAGTATGTTACCGTGCTATTTTCGCATAAGTTACCGGGTATATTTTTAAGAACTTTTTTTTTCGTTTGGTCAAAGTTACTGTGTTGCTTGTGTGTAAATTATCACGTCTGCAGTGAGTATATTATCATACTATTTGCAGAGAAGTTGTCGGGCAAGGGTATGCTTTTTCATCATTTTTTACCCTGAGTCAAAAGTTACCGTGTTATTTGTACATGAGTTATCAACTCTATTGTGTGTATATTATCATGTTATTTTACACATGAATTATTGGGGTATATTTTTCAATATTTTTTTCTTTGGTCAAATTACCGTGATGTTGGTATGTAATTTATCAGGTTACGATGTGTATATTATTATGCTATTTGCAAAGAAGTTACAGAGGCATGTTTTCAGTTACTAACTTCCCCCGGTTCAAAAGTTACCACATTGTTTGATCCTGAGTGATTTACACAAAATTACCACACTAATTTGAATAAAAAGATCTGCTACTCTATTCTGCTCCCTCCTTATTAATTTTCATGAATACAAGTTCCCTGTTACCCTTGATCAGATCCTTCGTTTTAAATGGGTAAATGTATTGTAATAGCTCTAGATAAATGTATTTTTAGAAGAAGCTTAGTTAGCATGAACATTAATTACTGTTGCAGGACACACTCTCTATTGGAGAACTTACTCTTCCATATGAACTAAGCAAAATACTGCTCATAGATGAGATGCAAAGGTCAATAAAAGAGGTGCCTCATAATTCATAGTACTTGAAAATAGTCTTTGAAAATAAGCCACAAAAATACGCCCAAGGAAATTCCAAATGCTAATCACTGACACAAAAATGTGAGAATCCTCAAAACCCAATGACCAACTCATGTGCCCAAAGATTATAGATCATGGTAATACCTCATCCATGACCCTAAAAAAAGGGGGAAAAGGAAGCCAAAAATCTGCCTTGATCTGTTTCTTTTGGCTATTGCTCATCCATCTCGCTGAGTATAACTTCTTGCTCGTCAGCATACTGAACCATTTGCTTCTTTTATACTAGGTGATGTTAACTGTAGAAGTGCATGCTCTAGTCAATGCAACCAAAAGACCGATCTGATGAAAGAGACTAAGCAACACATTATACGTCAACACTCCCCATCATGTGTGGCTCCCTCAGACCTAAACATGGACCGAAAGTGGGCTGCAATTTAATTGCGCCAGTTGAGTCTTGAACTCAGGACCTCTTGCCCTAATGCCATGTAGAAGTGCATGCTCTAGCCAATGCAACCAAAAAACCGATCTGATGGAATAGACTAGACAACACATTATACGTCAACATGAACAATTAAACTGAAGCAAGGCATAGGGAATTTGTACGAAAACATGCAAATATTTTTGCTCCATTTTTCCAGCAAAATTTGCCTACAAAGTAATCCCTCCATCCGAAAACACTTGTACACAAGATAGATGTATCTAGACGTATTTTAGTTCTAGTTACATCATTTTTATCCATTTCAAAAACAAGTATTTCCGAACGGAGGTAGTAGTAAGTACTACTTGTATACTGACCATGTCTTCATCTCAATCAACCGGCTTGCAAAAAATAGAATTGTTCATTCAATCATCATCACCACCTTTAGGGATTCATCACGAGTGGTTAGCAGGCGCTGCTGGAACCAGCCACTGAACTAGTTCAGTAAGGTAAACTGAACCAAGGAGAACACACCACATTCACGGACGAATTCAGTAGCAATAGCGGAGTGACAACGTTGTGTGCGGGACTTGGTGGCTCGGGGGCGTGAGTCCGTGGAGGCCGTGGAGGCTCTCGTCGGCGGAGGCCTGCGGCTGCTTCGGGTATAGGAGCGACATGCCACTGCCAATGCCGATGGCCTTCGAGTAGGGCTACTTCTGCGGCTCCGGCGTGCGCCTGGGGCCGACGCCCGTTCGCCGCAGAAGCGCTCCTATTTCAGAATTTGATCAGCACGCGCATCCGCCGCAGAAGCGCTCCTGTTTGTGGTCCCCGACGCCAAGGAGGTCTAGCCATGGCCGCCGCACTTCCAACCTATGCCTATCGGCAGCGATGGCGTGAGCTCGTGGCGCACGCTCGATCGCCGCCCCGGACGACCATGAACCCAATCGTTTCTCGTCGTCCCTGGGAACGGCCTCCCCTGCCACCCTTGGACCACACCTCGCTGCCGCAGCTCATCTCTGTCGGCGGTGCCGTTCCCGCGGCTCCCTTTCCTTATCGGCGTCTCCCCCAGACAGCGACACCACGGTGATGTGGGGATGGTCAGCAGCATAACATGGATTAGAGCTTCATCGATGTAGGCGCGTGAGAAACAGGGAGGTGGCAGTGGGAAGAAGGGGATTGATGGTGGAGCACTCGTCGTGATTATTTATCAAACGAAGCAGACGTGTTTTGAGGGAGATCCGGAGGGCGAGGCAGGTGCGCGCAATCGGATCTGACGGCATTGGATGGGGTAGATTGTTTTTGCAATCTACCACACGATTGCCATATACATATTTCGGTCAACTTAATACAAATATTTATAGCTTTGTTGTTTGTACGTTATAAACTAAACATAATAAACAGTACTATATAACTAGATTAGTATTATGGTTACTATTTTACATGTGGTAAGCCTAATTTGAATTGAACTCATTCTCGCAGTCCTTCAATTGACTAGAACAAGGCAGCTTTGTCTCGAAGCAAGCTCCCCCATCCGGGTTTATTAGGCCTCTGAGCATCTGTCCCTATTAGACTATCCATAATGGAGAGTAACTTAGACTGGTAACATGCATGCATATCTTACTAGTCTTCTCTATAGTTGGGAGTAACAAATGTGTGATTTCATGCAACAATTTATTTATTAGGTTATAGACTTATATTGTCTTGATATGTGTGATGTTACTTCCACTATGGGTAGTACTCCCCTGTCTTAGTTTATAGGGCGTGCACGTAGTTCTAGGTCATCAATTTGACTAGCTAATATGAGTTATATTTCACCAAAAATATATTATTGGATTCTTAAGTGGATGTAGTTTCCAAACATATATTTTTCATCAAATATAAAACAAATTTAGCTAGCTAAATTATCAACCCAAAACGACGCACATTCCTTATAAACCGAGACGGAGGGAGTATAACATATAATTAAGTTG